GCCCCGCGCCTGGATCGCGCCGCTCTTTTTAAGCAGCACGGCGGGCCTCCCGCACCGCCCGGCCTGGAGACCGGCGCGCTAAGGGCGGGCAGCCCGGGGACGCTCCCCAGGCGGGCCCGCAGAGCTGGGAGCCGCGCTGCCCTCCTCCACCCCACACACGTGCGCACACTCGAAACGCGCGTGTACAAACTCCCGCACACGCACTCCCGCGCATGCACACGTGCGCACGCCGCCGGCGGGAGCCCCAGCTCCTTCTCCCGCGCGGCCCTGGAGCGCCGCCCGAAGTGAGGCTTTGCTCCAGCCTCGGGGCCTGCCGCGTGCCAGTTCGGGGTTCTGCCCTGGCAACCCCCCTCTCCCCGCCCCTCTCCCCGGACTCCGGCGGCCAGCTCCCCTCCGCCTGGGGACAACCGCCGGCCCCGGAAGGCCCCTCTCCGCCCTCCCGGCTGCCGGGGCGGCGGGCCTGACCTTCCCACCCCTGGGCGGGCCGCTCCCCTCCCCTGGCGGCGGCGGCTCCCCAGCCCAGATGCGCCCGGGCGTCCGGAGTGGGCCACCTGTTCCGCCGGGTAATTATTTTAATGTAAGGGCCCAGCGTCAGCGGGTTCGCGCCTCCTGCGGCGACAGACGGCGGCGAGGCCGAGGAGGCTCTCAGCCTTTCAATGGAATTTCCCAGATGGGCCGAGGGGAGGCCGGGGCGGGTCACCAGGGGCCCTTTAACGAGTTCATTAGCCAAATTATCTTGCCGGCAGCACGGAGCCCCGGAGACCAGGGGAAGGGGGGGCAGGGCGGGGGCAGGGCGGCGGGTCGTTCTCCACCCCCACCCCTAGGTCTGGGCAGAAACAGTGCAGAGGGGGAAATGGCCCCATCCCACTGGTGTCAGGAAGAAGGGACCCGAGATCGAGTGCGTTCAGCAGCAAACATTCCACCTCGTGCCACCCTTATTTGGACAGGCAGAAGCCCTGCCAGTCAAAGGCCAAGTGGGAAAAACTGATTAGAATCCTGCCATGAGGAGATTATAACATAATCGCCAGTGTGACTAGTGGGTTCCGGCTAAGGCCCCACCACAGGACTGGAAGTCACGGTTTGCCCTTTTGCTGTGGGCTCTGGAGCAAAGTGCCTTGGTTTCCCAGAGACATAGTTTGCTCATCTGTAAGACTGGGGACACCATATGTTTTTTCAGTTATAATCTCTATTGGATGAGACTATGCAAGAAGGTACACTGAGGCACAGCACCTATGAGTGCTTGGGGCATACCGGCCGAGCAGGGGCACTAAGAGCCGGACGCCGTCATTTTAAATTTGGCTTCCCAAGCCACACTTACTATGTGGATGACATCAACTTCAGATTCCTCTTGGGTAAAACATTCCCTGTTCAAACGGTAGGGTAGGCAGCAGGTTCCTGATACACTAGCTTCCTTCTGCTGGAGTGACCACACATTCCCACCCAAGCCATTAGGAAATGTGGCTGGGGTATGATGTGAGGGGGAGAAGCTGCTTAAGGAAGGCGCGGTGGGAATAACGTCCTGGGCAACCCAGCCAAGCCCCATGTGCAAACAGAACTGCACCCCCCCCAAGTCCACTCCAAGCCTCCAAGCCTGAGATCTGTCCCTTGGGCCTGGAGTGCACACCTGTGGGAAGAAGCAGGGGGCAGGGTGGGAAGAGGAGAACTTGACCACAGACACCACTTGCCCATCTTAGGGAACATCCCTCAGCTCTGGCATGAGAAGGAATTCATCTCTCTCATCTCTCTCCCTCTCTCTCTCTCTCTCTCTCTCTCTCTCTCTCTCTCTCTCTCGGCAGCAAGCAGCCTCAGCTTCTGCCACCTCAGCACTACTAAAGAGACCAATTAGCAGCGACTTCCTGCCATTATCCACCGTGGATTTGGACATTACCGTGTGACTAGCGACTATCCAGCCATCATTCGGAGTCAGAAGGCACTAAAAATTTCCCATACCAAAGCATTAAAACATCGCAAGCAGCGTCTTGTTTTTTGTACTTCTACCCTGGAGCCTCCCTCCCTGCAGAACAGTCCAGGCTGGGGTGCACACCCACCTGTGTAGGTCTGGTCTCCCCAGGGGCTGAGCTGCTGGTGTGAGCGCCACGCCCCGGTGGGGGGAGGGGGTTGTCTCGGGCACAGGGTCCCAGAACCTCCGTGGGGAGCGTTTAGAAAGCGAGCCTTCGATGACTAAACACATTTTATGGGGGAGACTGCAAAGCTGGGCTCCTCTAAAGCAGGTGTGCGTTGTGCCCAATCTTAAAATAAGAAAGCCCTTAGGTCAAGACTCACTCCCCACGAAGTGCAGGTCAGGTGTTAGCTTATCTAGAGAGGGGTCATGAAGGTTGCAACAATCTGGAAAGGCTGACTTCGTGGGCATGTGTGTTCTATACCTTGTTCCTGACAGCAGCATGAAAGAGTGAACCTGAAATTAAATTAAATTAAAATCTTCTAGCAAAAATATAAGCTACTTGGGGGATGTTCTTCATCTCTGCTGAAGACTGTTGTCCCCCAGCTTGATTAAAGGGGCTCACGTGACCTTCCCCTTGCTCCCCGATGTCTTGGTAGGAATTTGTTTCTTTGTAACCCGGAGCTTCTAATTTGTGCAACAGAGGCTGGAAACACTTTCAGTTTTCTGGGTTAGAAGGAAAATTGCAGGTGGATATGTTCTGCCTCCACATGAGGGGCAGGGCTGAGCATGTCTCCCGGCCCCCCGCCCAGCAAGGCCTGTCCCTTCTCTTTGGTGTCCACGGCAGCTGGGAGACTGCCCAAGGTCTGAGCATAAAGCAGATATGACTGTATCTGGAGAAAATTTCCAAAAATAGAGGGCCCTTAGGTTGTTGAATTTTTAGGCATTTAAATCCTGCAGCATCCTCCTGACCTCTTAGCACAACCCCACCGGTGAGCCCTGTTTAGCCTGGTTATTTACACCTGGGGCTGGGCCCGGTGCACAGGGACAGACCCGTGACCCGGGACTTCGGAGGTGGGCTCCGTTAGGGTCAGGCCTGGAGCTGCGGCTCTGATCTCTAAAGGGGCAACACGAAATCCAGGTGTAAAGGGCCCGGCCGATAAGGAGGGGCCTCAAGAAAAGGCACCCAGCGCCTCCGGCAGGGCCCACCTCTGGTTGGAGCGGTTGGTCGGCAGGATCCCACCCTTTCCAGACCCCTTTACAAGACAAGTGCCCCCGGGTCAGGAAGGAGGTCAGCAGATCAAAGGGCAGCGCTAACAACGTGATACCTTTAGTCCTGGGGCTCTGCTGGTGGGGGGAGGGGACACCTGTGCAGATCCGCCCCTCCTCCTCCCTACCCCCACCCCCGAGTTTGCCTTCCGGTGACCCCAGCCCCCCCTACTCTCCGCCAACCCCCTACACTCCCCTCCCCCCACGCCTGCCCCTGTTTGACTCCAGGACTGGTGGAGGCTCTGGGCACCACGGAGCATCTCCCCAGACTGGTGGTGAAGGGGGGAGCGCCCAGGGACCACCGAGAAAGTCTTGCTGCACCCACTGCCCAGTGCCCTTCCAGGTGGTCTTCAGATTAATTATTCTACTGTACCTGCCCCACTTCACGTGGAAGAAAGCAATATATACATGATAAGGAATGATGCCTGCCTCCCAGCCTCTGAATGTGTGAATACATAGATTTTATTCCCAACCTCATAGGTATGTAATTCCAGACATGAATAGACGTGGATTACAAACAGCTTTTTCTTTTGCAGTTGTTGGTATAAACCACCAATTCTCCTTTCTACGTGGTGGGAGAGGGGCGACTGCAGGCAGTATTCAGTATCCTGAAGGGAGACCGTGTGGAGAGAGGAAAGGGGTGGTGTGCCAGGCAGGGAAGGGGCCAAGATGGGGGACAGCTGATGAAGGGTGCTTGCTCAGGAAATCAAGGGTTCCCCCAACCGTCCCAGGGCTGTGGGAGAGGGGAGTCACCTGGAGACTGGGTTTGGGGGTACTGCTGGGACCAGACTTTGATCTCTCCTTAGGGCCCTCCGACAGACGCAAGCCCCACGCCTGTCTGCCCAAAACCTTCTTCAAAGCCAGCTGGGCTGGACCAACACAGATGCTGGAGCCGGGAAGAGCCCCAGCGCGCTCAGCGTCACGCCTCATAAACCGCACAAAGCCCCCAAACTTCCAAGACCTCGCCCCCTTCTCTGTCTCTCTCTTTCCACACAACTTCACGGAAAACCTCCAATCTGTATTAACTTTTTCTTAACATCAACAGAATATATGATAATTTTAAAGCCCTTTGGCCCCATAGAGGGCATTTGGTCTAACGCCGACTTTTCTAAACAAAGAAACAGAAATCCATAAAAATAAAAATAAAAACCCGCATCCAGAGTCTCACTGCAGTTACAGGGGTGGCTGCGACCAGGACCCACCATGGGCTTAGTGCTTCTTTGATGCCTCACTGGGCGCCCCCATGGGTGGTGAGGCCTCGGGGGTAAAGCCAGGTGAACCTTTGCCTGCCGGACCCCCACAGACCTGTCCAGTCTGCGCTTCCAGGAAGTGCTCTCAGCTGGTCTCAGGGCGAGGACTCGCACGTCCCGCCACGGATTTTGGGGGGTTTAGGAGCAATGGGTACTGTGGAACAAAGAGGGGGTGAAATAAATTCCTCTCGGAGCTCTAAAACACAGCATGATTTTGTTGAGGAACATGGGGAGATTTGTTGCATACAGACTGCACACCCGTCCCCAACTAAAATAGCCCTGGCGGTGGGTATTTCAGGGAGAAGAGAGGGCAGCAGGCCCTCCAAGATCAGTTTTGGGGAGTTTCATTCACTACCTTCCCCCAGCCCCCTAAATCACTGCCCTCCATCCCAGCAGATGGAGCAGGAGTGAGGTGGGGAAAGGCAGTCAGCCTTAGAGCAAACCCCTGTCAGAGGTGGGGGCCAAGACTCTCCCGGGGAGGCAGAGTGACAGCCAGGATGTCACTACTGTCCCTCACGGGGCGAAGGGTTTCCTGCCCAGAACAGGTGGCTAAGAATCTCAGGTCTCCATCAACCCTCCTTCCCCAAAGGGAACAGACAGGCGTAGAGAAACAGGGCTGGGGAACCCTGGAGCACTGAGGGCAGCCGGTGACAGCTGCGTGGCCCCCTGCATCACACTTGGTCCCAATCCAAACTACGAGGCTTCACGGTTTGCTGGGGACAAGAGTCTCAACCTCTTTGAACCTCTACTCTCTGAAAGGGAGAGGATAAAATCCTTTTTCTAGTGTCACAGTGACGATTAAAGAAGAGACTTCTAGAAAGCTCATGGCATATAGCCGTGTTCAGGAAGGGTAAGTGCTCGCCTCTCTCTGCTTAAAGGCAGGACTGCATTATCACCACCCCAAAGAGACAGCATCTAAACACCAAACACCATGTAAATGCTGTAATTTCTATTTACAACGCTGGTTTTTGCAAAGCCATATCATATTTACTCCCAGTGCTGTCCCTTATCCATTTCTATCCTCCTGATTTCCAACTAGTACTGTGTGTCTCGGAACTATCCTGTTTTAATGAAAAAGAAAGTCGGCTCTTGCCAACAGAATCACCACAATCAACCAACTCTTGCCAAGGCAAAAAGCCTTTTGAAGGGAAACTAAGCTATCCCTATACTTACCTTTAAAAAAAAAAAATCCCTCTTGTAGCAACCTGATCTGCTAATTTTAGAGTTTACCTGCCCTCATTTTTCCTTCCTCCTCTGTCCCTCCCCCAGCCCCTACCCTGTCCTTTACTCACCTCTTACCTGCTTAGGAAGCTGGCTGCAAGAACCGAAACCCCCTCCTGCATTCTTTCCCCTGTTGGGGCCAGATAACTAGGTCTAATGGAGCTATTGACAAAGCCTCGTGCTGGTGGCCGCTTGACTCCCCGACCTGCATGTTGATTCTTTCCGCTTCAGAAAAGCCCTTGGAAGTGCTTTTACTGTAAATATTTGAAGTGTGTGTATGGGGGACGGAGGGGGTGGGTGTGAAGTCTGGATTCTCACTCCACTACCTTGCTCAGCCAGGGGAAGCCCTTTCGCCCGAGCTCCTAAGCTGCAGGTAGGAAGAGGAGAGAGGCTGCGTTTTCCTGCCTGGGGACTAACCAGGGTCAGAGTGAGTGGCCTCGGGAGGGCTACCGGCTCCCGCAGGCTTTCCAGAACCGAGGTGGGTGCCGTCTCTTCACGCCCATGGGTATCCTTCCGCAGAGAGGAAGAGGTCTGTCACCGAGGATCCTCTCACTGGCAGGTGGGCAACGTCTCCAAGCCGACCTGGGTCCTGCAGGCCGCGGGGCTCGCAGACTCTCTGCCCGCTCCGCCTAGACGGGGCAGAGGCTCAAGGCGAGGACTTGTGGAAGGCAAGCTCTCGCTCGCACACACACACAACACCTGAAACGCACAGGACTTCGCAGAGATGAGAAGGTTCGACCTGCAGAGGGTTGACGACAGGGACACAAAGTGCTCCCGCGCACCCTGGAGACCCAAGAACAGGGCTTGGGGACCGGTTTGATCTTCGTTGTGCTACCGTCATTGAGCAAAGCAGCTAGATCTGCAAGCAACGTGGGCTCCCCGACGCAGAAGTGCACAAAACTCAAGTGCTGGCGAGGAGGCGCGAGGAGACGCACGCCGCTGGCTCTAGGGGACGCCGAGCCCAGAGCCGGACAGCCTGTCTCCGGAGCTGGCCTCAGAGCGCGGGGACCACACCGGGCCCCAGGGCCGCCAGCGCCCGCAGTCCCACTCAGCACTTGCAGCAGGGCGAGCAGGGTCCCTAGGTTGAGCCTCCGAGTCCGGCAACTCCGGTCGCGGTCCCCGGCCCGCCATCGCGGCTCAGCACCCCGGTTGTTTAGGACCCCGCGGCGCAGGGGCGGGGCGGCGGGCGGCCCGGACGGTGACAGGTGCGCCCCTCCGCCAATGGCCTGGCCGGCGCCCCTCCCCGAGCCCCCGCCGAGCGCGCCAATCGGCGGCCGCGCTGCGCTTCAAGTGCGCGGAGGGGCGCGGGTCCCCACTACGGCGCCGGCGGCCTCGGCGCGGTCGCCCGAGGGTCCAGCGCATAGAGCCGGGCTCCCCGGCCCGGCGCGTCCAGGCACTCGCGTGCGAGTTTGTGCGAGCGCGTGCGAGCGCGGCCCGGGGCGGGGTCCGCACGGAGGAGGCGCCTGGACCATGGTCACCCTCGGCTGAGTTTCCGGCGGCGACTTTGATTATTGGCAAATAATCACCATAACAATACCGAACCCTGGGGCTTGCCACCGCCACGCACAGACTCCGCGAGCCTGCACGCGGCCGCGTCACCCACCACCCGGCCCTGCTCGCCAGCCCCAAACGAGCCGATGGAAAAATCCAAAAATTTCCGCATCGATGCGCTGCTGGCCGTGGACCCCCCGCGAGCGGCCTCGGCGCAGACCGCGCCGCTGGCCCTGGTCACGTCGCTCGCGGCCGCCGCGGCCGGCCCCGGCGGCGGCGGCGGCGGCGGCGGAGCAAGCGGCGGCGGGGCGAGCGGCGGGGCGAGCGGCAGCTGCAGCCCCGCGTCCTCGGAGCCGCCCGCAGCGCCCG